GCCTGCAGGCTTGTACTAGCTTAACTTGGTAATGTTCATCAAATGTGAGACTACTATACAGGGAAATTGAGGAAAGGTTCCAGAACCTAGCAGCAAAGCAAAACAAATTGTGCAAATCTTAGTAGATTTCTGGATTTTATGTAAAAACCTATCTAATGTACTTATTTTATATGTACTTCTCTATGCTAAAATTAAACTTTAATCTTCCAAAAAAAAAAAGTACTTTTCTGTATTGCCTCGTCAGACCACATCTGAAATAATGGATTTAGTTATAGATGCCACAGCTTAAGAGAAATAGTGTCCTGCTGCAGGATGGTAGGTATATGTAGCTGTGTGACCCTGGGCAAGTCACTTAACTTTCCCCTCAGTTTCCTTATCTGTAAAGTGAGCTGGAGAAGGAAATGGCAGATCACTCTAAAAATGCCAAGAAAGCCCCAAATGGGGTCACAAAAAGTTGGATGCAACTGAAATGACTGAATAACAGCAGCAGGGTGGTAAAGGTCTTTGTGTCCTGCCACATAAAGATGAAGTGGAGGAACTAGGGATATTTAGCTTAGAAAAGTTTCCCTTTTTTTTTCACACCAATTATTTCCCCTTAACCTGTCTTCCTTTGCACCTTTCATTTTAATAACAACAAAGTATCACCAAATAAGTAAAGCCAGCTGACAGTTTCTAGTTCTGACAGCATATACCACATTACTCATCCGTAGATCCTGCCTCTTTACTGAGTGGAAGAATAGTATTTTTCCTTAAGTTCCCTAAGATAAGATTGTTCATTACAATTTATCATAGTTTGGCTGCTTTTTTAGGTTATCATTTACATTATTTGTCCTGTGTGTGTATTTTTTCTTGGTTCTGCCTTCTTCATTCCTTCAGATAAGTCATCCATGTTTCTCTAAATTTCTCATATTAATCATTTCTTATGGTATATTGATAGGCTATTACATTTGTATCCCATAGTTTTTTCAGCCATTCCTCATTCAGCAGGCATCTTTCTGCTTTAAATTTTTTTTTTGGTACCACAATTTACTGGTATAAATATTTTGATGTAAGTATATAGGATTTTTCTTTGTTCTCTTTAACCTTTAGGTATTTGTCCAGTAGTGGTTTGCTAGATTAAAGTTTATGAATGGTGTTTTGACTTTACTCATGAAGTTTCCAATCAGTTTCCAAAGTGGTTGGACCACTTCATTATTCTACCAGCAGTATACTGTAGTTTCTGCAGTTCCCGTAATGCTTTTTTTCTTAATGGTATTTTTTTTTCCAATTATAGATAAAAATAGTTTTCAACATTCATTTAAAATTTTGAGTTCCAAATTTTTCTCCTTTTCTCCACAAAGACAGCAAGCAATCTGATAGAGGTTATACATGTACAATCTTGTTAAACATATTTCCACATTAGTTATGTTGTGAAAGAAGCATCAGAACAAAAGGTAAAAACCATGAGAAAGAAAAAATAAAAAAAGGTGAAAATAGTATGCTTTGATCTGCATGCAGACTCCATAGTTCTTTCTCCGGGTGTAGTTAGCATTTTTTTTATCATGAGTCTTTCAAATTGTCTTGTATCATTGTACTGCTGATAAAAGCTGAGTCCATCATAGTTAATTCTCGCACAACTTTGCTGTTGCTGTGTACAGTGTTCTCCTGTTCTGCTCATTTCACTTATCATCAGTTTGTGTACGTCTTTTCAGGTTTTTGTGAAATCTCTGCTCGTCATTTCTTAGTACAGTACCATTCCGTCATGGTTATATACTATAACTTCTTCAATCGTTCCCCAGTTGATGGGCATCCCCTCAATTTCCAATTCTTTGCCACCACAAAAAGAGGTGCTACATGTTTGTACATATGGGTCCTTTTCCCTTTTTTATTATCTCTTTGGGTTATAGACCTAGTAGTGGTATTGCTGGATCAAAGGGTTTGCACAGTTTGGACATAGTTCTAAATTGTTCTCCAGAATGGTTGAATCAGTTCACAACTCCACCAACAATGCATTAGTGTTCTAATTTTCCTTTGTCTTCTCCAATGTTTATCATTTTCCTTTTCTGTCATATTAGCCAATCTGATAGGTGTGATGTAGTACCTCAGAGCTGTTTTAATTTGATTTCTTTCATCAATAGTGACTCTCACTTATCTTCAATCTTTCCCTATCTTCTGGCTGCTTTTCTGCTGCCTGCAAACATGCTCATCCCTTTTCCCATCCTCAGAAAACCTTTCTTTCTCTCTCCTTTCTAGTTAAATCCTTGGAAAGACCATCTACAATAGGAGCCTCCACTTCTTTTCCTTATTTTTTCTTAACTGTGCAGTCTGACTTCTGATCTCATCATTACAATGAAACTGTTCTCTACAGAGTTAGTGATTTCTAATGGCTTTTTCTCAGTCCTTATTATTCTTGACTTCTCTAAAGTCTTTGACGTCATTGGTCACCTCTTCTCTTTGATACTGTCTTCTCTCTTGATTTTCAAGATACTCCTTTCTCCTGGTTCTCCTGTCACATATCTGACTGTTCCTTTCCAGTCTCCTTTGTTGAATCTTCATCCAGTTCACGCCTGCTAACCACAAGTTTCCCACAAGACAGTGTGGCTATCTTCTCTCTCCCAGTGGACTTGGTGATCTCATTAGCACCCATGATTCAATTATCATCTTTGCTGACAATTATCAAATCTACTTGCTCTGTAATCTTTCTGCTGACCTCCAGGCTTGCACCTCCAGCTGTCTATTACACATCTCAAATTCAGTGTCCCATAGATGACTTAAACTCAGCATATCCAAAGCTAAATTTGTTATCTTTTCCCCACAAAATCCTTCTTGGCTTCCTTATTCCTGTTGAGGGTACCACCAACCTTACAGCTACCCAAGCTGGCAACTCAGTTCCTCTCACACTCTTTCCCTGCCCCCAGTCCCATATTAAATGTTGCCAAAACCTGTCCATTTCACCTTTGTAGCATCTCTCATACCCCCTTCTTTTCCCTGACACTGCCACCTTCCTAGAATAGGCCCTCATCACCTCATGCCTGCACTATTGTAATAGCTTGCTATTTGGTCTTCTTGCCTCAAATATCTCCCCACTTCAGTCTCTCCTCTACTCATCTGTCAAAGTGATCTTTCTGAAGTCCGAGTCTCTAAAGTCTGTATTTCCATCCCCATCCCCCACTCAATAAACTCTACTGGTTGCCTAGCTCCTCCAGGATCAAATATAAAATCCTCTGTTGGGAGTTTTAAAACCTTCACAACCTTTCTTTCTCTTCTTATTTTTGAGTCTTCTTATACCTCCTCATTCCCCACCACCACCACCATCACCACCATCCTCATTCCCCTCCACACACACACATCCAATGACATTAGCCTTCTTGCTGTTCTTGTGTAAGACACTCCATCTCCTGACTCCAGCAATTTCCACCTCTTCACTTTCCTCCCTTCCTTCAAGTCCTAGTTAAAACCCCCTTTCTACAGAAAGCCTTTCCTTATCCTTTGTAATTCTAGTTCCTTCCTTCTGTTTCCAGTGTAGCCTGTATATAGCTTTGTTTGTGCCAAGTTGTTTGCATGTTGTCTTCCCTGTTACATTGTGAGTTCCTAGAAAACAATATCTTGACTTTTGCCTTTCTCTGTATCCCAGGCACTTAGTATAGTACCTATCATATAGCAGGTATTTAATAAATGTTTATTGATTGATGGACCACTACAGCATTCTTCTTCCCAAAGTACCAATTTTTACTCTGAATTTACCTTGAACTTGCCTTTACTCTGAATTTACTCTTATACTTTTGTTAATTCTACATTGCTTCCAGGATATAATCCTACAGGAAATGATGTATTTTCCCTTGTTCACTCAAGGGGATATAATCTGACCCTTCTGCTAAGCATATGCTGTGCACAGAAGTTTCCTAAGGACATACAAAGATAATAAAGGCCTAGTCCCCTTGTTTACCAGTCAATACTTATCAACTCACTGTGTGACCCTGGGCAAGTCACTTAACCCCCATTGCCCAACCAAAAAACCCCAAAAAACTTAGCAACTCAAACCTTCTGATTCAACTAACTGGTCTCCTTGCTGTCCCTGGAACCTATCATTCCCATTTCTACTCCATGTCTGTTTTCATGCTACTCCCTCCTTCCAGTTCTGTTCCTGAACAAACCCAAACTTAACTTTCTTCTCTTCCTGTTATAAGGCTTTCTGTACCCTTCCACATGAATTTTGCTCGGTCTTATATACATAGTACTCTCACATGTTCAGCTTTTTTTCTTTCTTTAACTGTTTTAATGCCAGATACTTATGGAATTAATAAATTTCTGTTTGAGTTGCAAAATATATAGATCTCAAGTAGGTGACCCACTAGTGCATGCTAGCAGAGCCCTGTTTAGTAATAACTTAAGATTTCTTGTGACAGCCATGGGGAGAGAGAGCAATATTCGGAGATTCTTTTAAGAGTATATTTGTCATTGGGAGCAAATGTTACTTTTTAACTATAGCCTTAGTACTATTTTCTTGGAGCAAGGGTCTTCAGTCAAAACCTACTGGGGGCTATTAAGCGCTCCAAACTGTACTATTTTAGTACTGACTGCAACCTAGGGGGACAGGATAATGTCATTGAGAGGCTTAAATAATGAGGAAAAAAATCCAAAGAGAGAGGGATTAAATTGGAAGGTAGAAGAGAAAGGAAAAAGTTTAAAAGTGATGGAATATCAGCACTAGTTGGCTTAGGTGCCCCTAGATTGCCTCCCTGTGCCTTAGTGGAACCCTTAAAACCAGAAAGAGGAGTATGAAACAATAGGAAGCAAATTCCATGTGATATGTGGTAAAGAAATTCTATCTGGTGTATGGCTCTCTTTGTTTTATCTTTTTTTTTTCCTCATGTCAAAGTTTTCTCTAGATAATATTCTTGCTTGTGAACTCTCTCTTTACTTGACAAGACCTCTGCCTATTGTGGCTTTTTGAAAATCATGAGCAAATATAATATTTTTGAATACTTATTAAACTTACAATGTCTCATTTGGTCTTTCAGCTTTTCACTAGCTCTGTGCAGATGAATCCCACAGATTACATCAGTAATACAAAAGTAAGTTTTAGTTAATAATGCTCAGGACCCATAGCTGTTAAAAAAAAAATCTGAAATAATATCCTGTTAACTAGAAAGCAGTGAGATTGTTCTTATCACTAAAGAAAAGCATTTTGTTTTCTAATAAAATGTAATAGATCTAATGGAGGTACTGGAGTTCTGGGTAAAAACTTTAGTGGTGATTGTTCTTTTGGAACTTAGGAGATAAACAATTAGTGTAAAATGTAGTTGGATATTGGACATCTCCTAATTAAAGTTGAGATTGTGAAGGAAGGAGCTTTGAAATGACATATTAAATATACCGCAGATGTAAATATATACATGCATCCCATAGTTCTAAACAACTTCTTGGTACAGAGAGGCAATGTTATACCAAGAACTGTCTTGAGTCTGGCTCCAGCACCTGATCTGATCTGAGTGATCCTTGGCAAGAAATTATTATCTCTGATCCTCAGTTTACTCATCTGTAAACTGATAATACTTACACTACTCCACAGAGTTGTTGACAAGAAAGTGCTTCATAACCTTGTTGCACAATATAACTGTGGGTTATTAGTAGTATGTTTTTCTGGAAACTGTTCCTGTGATGCTTCCTTTTATTACTATGCTAAATTTTCTAACAGTATATGTGAAAGTGTCAATAATTTGGACTAATATGGAGGTGTAGCAAGTTTAAATTAATGAATTGTAGATGAAATAGAATTGTAGACTAAAGAAATTAATATTTTAATGTAATAACTTCTGCTGAGCTAACAAAGACTTTTATTATCAAATAGAGATTTTTGAGTGACCTGCTTTAATAAAAGATGATTTGTAATTATCATAGCATAGTCACAGGGGGTCTGGTGTGGCAGCATACTGTAAGTCCCTGCTACTTGAGGGAGGCTGAGGCTGGTGGATTGCTTGAACTTAGGAGTTCTGAGCTGCAGTAGACTAAAGTCAGTTGGTTGTACTCACTAAGTCTAGCACCAGTCTGGTGAATCCCTGGGAGCAAGGGCTGAGGAGACAGAATGGAGAAGATTAAATCCTCCATGTGGATTAACACTGGGGTTAGGCCCATGAGTGTGGCCTCTGTATTTCCAGGTTATATACTCAAAGGTTCATAAGATTTTAGAGCTGTTAAGGGCCCTTAGAAAGATCTAGTCAAACCCCCTCATTTTGCAAATGAGAAAATTGGGGCCAAGAGAACAAAATGGACTTCCCCAAAGTCACAGAAGTCATAAGTAACAGAGCCTGTAGTGTTTTTTATACCATATTATCTTAGGTAGGCAAAAATTCCCCTCATCTTGGTTTTTATAATCTTAATTTGTTTAGCACATACACTTTTTAAGTAAGTGAATCCACCCTCTGAGAATTATCATATATCTCAAGTTGTTTACTTTTTTATTTTACTTTTATTAGGTTTTTTAATTTATTTTTTAATTTATTTTTATTCTAACACTCAATGGTCTAGGGATGGGGGGAAAGCATACTAAAGTAATTCTTATTGTGTATTTTTTTTTGAGTGTTGGCATGTATGTGTACAATTTATTGGCTGACTCTAGGTCTTCACAAAACTATCTACTATTGCTCCTTTGTCAAAATTAAATACCAAGAAACCAGTTTTTACGTACATACATATATATGTGTATATATAAAATATATACATTATATATCATATATCATGTATTATAGATAATATATAAATATGTTTTATTTCTAAAATACCTCTGTGTGTGTATGCATCCCCATATATATATATATCTATATATATATCTATATATATATATATCTATATCTATAGATAGAGATAGATATAGATATATATATCTATCTCTATATCTATATCTATATCTATATCTATATCTATAGATAGATATAGATATAGATATATAAATGATATACCTGATTACTTGTGTTACTTTTCATGGCTCCTCAACCATATTATGAATGTGTTCCCATGTTACTTAGTCATACAATCTTATTTCGGGAAGGGATCTTTACTCTAGTGTGTATTTAGTATATGTGCTTCTCTTTTTGATTCTTTACTACCTTTTATGTTGTAAATCACTCCTTTAGCACAGGTCAGGATCTTTCTTTCTAAGATTGAGACAGTATCACAAAAGTGCCAAGAACTGAAAGTTGAGCAGCTGCAGAGTTACCTGTACTTCTGCTGAAGAATATTGATATACTGAGATTTTGACTTAGGACTGTATAATTAATGAAAAATAGCAGTATTGAATAAAAATAAAGCAGGTCCCAAATGCTTTGCAACACATACTTAATAAGAACTCATTCAAAAATATGTATTTTCTTCTGTACAATCTTAAGTAAATAAGATATAGGCGTGCTATTTATATTTGATATAGAATAATGCCAGACTTACCCAGCATGCAGAACTCTGAGACAACCCTTTTTTCCTCAGAAGTATTCAAAAAAGCCTCCAACATTCAAAGTTTGAGCACTTCTGTAGAGCAAGAAGAAAAAAAGTTGTAGTTAGGAGTATTTAAAGATATGATTGGTCCATTTACTATCCAGAAGATAGATATACATTTCTTACTAGCTGTACCACAGGCCAACCTGAAAATTTCAAGAAAAATAGAAGATAAAGAAAGAGAAGATTTTGGCAGCTATAGAAATGGCACAATGAGTAGTAAGAAGTAGATAAGATGACATTGTATGACAGAGAAAGACAAGCATTCTGAATGCAAAGGGACAGACAGCTCAACTGTACCTTAGCCTTTAAGGATCTCTCTTCAGTAATTGTTCATAATGATGATCATTCCAAGTCAATCAGAAAAGGAAATCTTCCTCAGTTGTCTCATCTTGATGTGGCGATGACCCTGAGTTTTCAAAAATTGTGCCATGCAGTCAGTCCCATTTCTAGCAGATACTGCTGAGCTAGAAGGACTCAGTTAAGAGGGGCTAATCAATCATCAAGTTGCCTTCAAGTTGATGAATTTTACAGCTACAGTAACTCAAATGTCTACCAAACTCTAGAAGAGATTGTGATCTGTGTCTATGCAGATAGTGCCCAAGTTCTTTATTTCTCTTAAATTGGAAAAATGTGTAATGCATTTTGAAAATATTTCTATAGGAAAAGGTTTAAGATATTTTTAAAAGATTTAAATTTTTATATAGCATTGTTTCAAGATCTTAGTCATTGTGTATTCCTTCCCACTTTAAAATCTCCCATTGTCCAATCAGTTGGCAAGTTTTACTGATTCCTTCTCTGCAGTGTCCCCATCTCCATTAATTTTTTTTTTATTGCTGTTCTTTTTTACATCACTTTAATTTCCAAATGCCTCACCCTGGCTTCCCTTATAACACAAAAGAGAAGAAGGGGAGTGGAAAAAAAAAGAAAAGCATTTCAGCAAGACTAAACAGCACATCAGTTGAATCTAGACAGCATAGTCCCACATCCACAGGCACCCACCTCTGCAGAAAAGGGTGGGAAGTTCATTTTTCCCTCTTTTCTTGGGGGCCGAGCTTTCAACTTCTCTTAGAGTCCAATTGCTGTCATCTTAGTTCATACCTTACACACCAGTTTAATCTTTCTAAAGCATGACTGTGATCATCATTAAATGGGATTCATCATTGCATAGTAAATTACATTCACATTGCTTAGCTAGTATTCAAGTCCTTTTATATCTGGCCTCAGCTTTTCTGTTTTTATTGCCCATTGCTGTTCTTCACATAGCCCAGTACTAGTCAAGCTGTGCAACTCACAGTTGTGTTCTCTTCTTCTAAAATGGCCTCTCTTCCAAATCTATATTTCATTAAAACTCTACCTTCCCTTTTAGGTCCAGTTCAAATGTTACCTCTTCTTTGAAGCCTTTCCTAGTTTTACCTCCTTATCCCCTTTCCCATCTAGGAATGATGTTTCTTTCCTTTGAACTCCCATAGCCCTTCCTTCTTACCTTCCTTTTTTGGCCTTATAGTATACTATGTATTAGGGTTACTTGTAAGTCTCTTCTCTCTCCAACTAGAATGTAAGTTCAATTAAAGCTGTCTCCATCTTCATATTCCTCACATATTCATATGTACAACAAAGAATTTGGACTAGACCTTTGTTAGCTCTAAGGTCCCTTCCAGCACTTAACATTCTATGACTGGTATTTATACTTTTCTATATCAATACTTGATGTAGAGGTAAGTTTTCAAGAAATCAAAAAAGGTGCATGCATAATATTTGACTATGTTGGGTTTTTTCCCCAGTTGGAAAATAAAGGATCAGACGTTAATAAGAATAATGAAGTTCAGCCAACTTCCGAAGATGGAAAAAATTCTAAGCCTAAGTCAGGTATGTGTATAAGATGCAACATTGAGATTTTTTTAAACTTGTTGGTACTATTTGGTTTTTTGTTTGTTTGTTTGTTTTGTTTTTTACCCCACCGTCAGTTCTCATTAATCCTCACATTTACAACCTCTACCTTCCTTCTTGGCCAGTCTTCTCTTAATTATGCAAAAGCAAATAACAGTAATAGCAGTAAGCAGCATTTGTAGATACTTTACTTGAGAGGACTACACAGAAAAATAAATTGTATGCCATGTCTATACTAGCATTCTCTAACACTTTAGTGTCATATGAGAGATGCAAAATATAATTATAAGACAAAGTGAATTGAGAGAGGTGAAATAGTGTTTTGTAAAAAGTCCAAAGCTGCTGAGAAAAGTTTTCATTGACTACAGTGGAGAGGAATCATGGCTCTAGAACTAGAGGGCCAGAGAGTTGACATGATTTTCCTAGGTCACACAGGTAACATTTGGCAAAGGCAGGATGTCTCCAGGCTCTTCAACACCAAATCCAGCACTCTGTTCCCTTTATCATACTGCCTCTCTAGGTGGTATTAAAGTTGTGATGTCAAACTCAAATAGAAATGGGAACCACTAAACTATATATAAGGTTCTTTGACTATACATATTGACTTTAAAAATCACATTAACAGTATCTGTGTTCTATTTTGTTTTTACTTATTTTGTTAAATATTTCCCAATTACATTTTTTTTTTGGCTAGGTAGTGGGGTTAAGTGATTTACCAAGGGTCACACAGCTAGTAAGTGTTATGTGTCTGAGGCCGAATTTGAAGTCAGGTACTCCTAAATCCAGGGCCGGTGCTCTATCCACTGTGCCACCTAGCTGCTCCTCCCAATTACATTTTAATCTGGTTCAGACAACAGTTGGGAGTGTTGTGGCACCTCTGCATTAAAGGATAGCTAGGATTTCAGAAGGTTAAACTTGGGGACTAGGGGAGGGTATTCCAATAATAGGGCAATATTAGAAAGTTTAGGTAGAATTTAGATTATGTGAAGAGTAGTTATTAAAACAGCCACTGTGTACCAGGCACTGTGCTAATCAGTAAGTTATAAAGAAAAGCAAAAGATCAATATGCAAACTACTATGTACTAAAAGGATAAATACTGGATAAATTGGAGATAATGGACAAACGGAGGACATTAGCATTAAGAGGGATCAGGAGAGCCTTCTTTGCAGAAGGTGGGATTTGGACTGAGACTTGAAGGGAATCTAGGAGCAGAGATGAGGGAGAGATTCCAGGCATGGAGGACAGTGGTGGAAATGAATGGTATCTGGAGTCTCTTGTTCAAGGAACTGCAAGGAGGCTATTGTCACTGGGTGGCAGAATACATAGAGGGGGTTGGTGGAGTTAAGGTATAAGAAAACTGTAAAGGTAGAAAGGGGCCAGGTTACAAAGGCTTTAAAAGCCAGAGGATCTTGGGTTTGTTCCTAGAGTAATAGGGAACTGCCAGAATTTATTGAATTGGGAGGAGGGGGGTGTGATAAGGTCAGACTTTTGTTTTAGGAGTATCATTTTGACAGTTGAATGGAAGATAAACTGGATTGGGGAGAGACTTGAGGCAGGGAGACAAAGCATGAGGTGATGAGGTGATTGCAGTGTCAAAGGAGAGAAGGAAATGTATACAAGAGGTATTACAAAGATAAAATATTGGATATGGAGGGTGAGAGTGAGGAGTTGAGGATGACACCTAGGTTGAGAGCCAAGTTGACTGAATGGATGCTGGGATACTTGACAGTAATAGGGAAGTTAGGAAGAGGGGAGGGTTGGGAGTGGGTGGGGGTTGTTAATGAATTCATTTAGTACATGCTGAGTTTGATGTTCTATTTTCAAAGAAATATGAATGCTAATTGTTGTGTAGTTTATTAACAACGTACAAATAATACAAAGATCTTTAAATATTAGGGAGCAGCAAGATGGCACATGGGTAGAGTGCCAGGCCTGAAATCAGGAATAGGAGTCTTACTGAGTTCAGATCTGGCCTCTCAAGACCCTTACCTAACTCTGTGATCCTGGGCACGTCACTTAACCCTGTTTGCCTCAGTTTTCTCATCTATGAAATGAGCTGGAGAAAGAAATGGCAAACCATTCCAGCATCTTTGCCAAGAAAACCCCAAAGGGGGTCTTGAAGAGTTAGTCAGACATGACTAAAACAACTGAATCACAACAAATTTAAATATTTCAACAATATATCAGAGTGAGGAAGATCACAATCAGTGGCTCCTGTAACCATCAACTGCAACTGCATACTTCTTAGCTATGGAAACATAGCCCCATCATTTAACTCTCTCAGGTTGGGTAATCACATTTTCTCAGGAAATAATATCTTTTTAGCCTTTGTCAGTGATAGTGAACTCAAAGTCTCTCAGGAAGAAGTCCTTTTAGTCCTTTCTCTACACCTCATACAGTCTCTCTGGTCATGATAGTCAAAGTGTACAGTTGACAGGTTAAACTGCCCCTTTTCTTTAGATTTCTTATTCTTCTTGAAGATAAGACTTAACAGTCTATAGTCTCTGTGGATTACATAGGGATTTGTGATATTCTTTTTTCACATTGAGATTGGTGTCACTGCATCAGTACCCTCACTGAGAAATAGAGTGGTAAAATTGGGAGAAGACCTTGATTCTACTGCCCACTTTATTTCTTAATTATGTAGCTTCACTGTTTTTTTTTTTGTTTTGGTTAAGTGAACTTGCCCAGTGTTACACAGCTAGTATCATGTGTCTGAGGCCAGATTTGAACTCAGGTCCTCCTGACTCCAGGGCAGGTGCTCTATCTACTACTCCACCTACCTGCCCATGTTTAAATTAATCTTGAAAGTATTCTGTTCCTCTTTTTAGATAAGCAGCTCATCCAGTACACAGCTTTTCCTCTCCTTGCATTTCTTGATGGGAACCCATCCTCCACTGTTGAAAATGGAAGTGCAACCTCAGAAGCTGCCTCTTCTTCAGACAAACCCCTAGAGGTTGATGAGCTTCTGGATAATAGTCTGGACCCGGAACCAACCCAAAGTAAGCTTGTTCGACTGGAACCATTGACTGAGGCTGAGGCGAGTGAAGCCACTCTGTTCTATTTATGTGAACTTGCCCCTGCACCACTGGACAGTGATATGCCACTCTTAGATAATTGAATCCCCCTAGAAGGTGGACTAAATGTATATATTCATCAAAATGATGAACTATTTATTTAAAGTATCATTTGGTACTCTTTTGTTTTGTAAATGGATTTGTTTTGTGTATTCAGATACTGTGGAATCTAAAGCACCTTCCCTGTCCCTCCCACCCCCCTCAAAGTCTAACCACACGCTGATCACTCTTGCAGAGCTTTCAGATGTTACTCAGCTGTGTAGTTCTTTAAGACTTCCTGAACACATTGATAGATCCTTAATTTGGATTCAAATTGCTGTTCTTTGCCCAATTGCAGTGGAATTCATTGATTTTTGTTTTCATGTATATGCCCATTACCCTGATCTAATTAAACCTTCATTTGTTTGTTGTAATTTGTTTTATTTGTTTGATGATGCTATCTGATTGCGTTGAGTGTAACACACTAGTGCTGAAGATGGTATTCTGAATGCTTTCTCTGTTGCAGTTAACTTTTATTAAAATTTTTACACTTGGCTTTTCAACACTGGGAACATAAAGTGCCTGGATCTAGTAGAATTCCATTGGTCTCCCTTGGTTCTGAGATGTATTCCTCTGTACCACACAAGAATAGTGAAGTGGGCATGATTTTCTTCTGCCCCCTAAAATCTTCCCAGTCTAGTTTAGGTAATGGAGATCATCTCTGCCCACTGAGTTGGACTGGAATGTCAAATAAAAAGGTTTTTAAGTTTGCTTGTGTTTTGGGTTTTTTTTTCCTTCTCTTTTTTAGCCATACTCAAGTAAAAATAAATACAGTAGGTATTTAGGTCTTACTTCTGCTCTGCTGTCTTTTTGTGTATGGTTTTTGTAAAAAAAAAAAAAGCTGTGACACTAGTAGATTTTAAAGAATTCTCTCTTTAACTTTTTTGCATTTCAGCATACAGTAACTTAGAGGTTTTAATTTACAAGTTAGTCTTATATAAATGAGGCAAAGTAATCTTCATTAATGTTATGGTTGCAAACCTTAACTGTTGGTAGTTGTAGGCTATGGAATACATTTTTGTTGTCGAATTCCATGTGGGTGTGGGTGTGTGCGCTCGTGCATCTGACCAAATTCCTACCAAGGTTCTGTCTCCTCGAAGATAATTTCCCTGAAAGCAGAACAAATTAGGACTCTTTGTGGCCACTTACATTTTGAAAATCCCTAACTAGTGCTCCTATTTCCCCTGTATCACTCACAAATAAGGTGGCCCCTTTCATAGTACATTTATAGGAGCCAAATCTGGAAAGTACCTCCCGTATAATTTAATTCAAACCCCTCATTTGACAAGTGAGGAAAGTGAGACCCAGAGAGGTTAAAGCAAGTTACCTGGTGTAACATCACTAATAATGGTAGAGTCAAAACTTAAACACAGACCTTTTGATTCCAAAGCCAGTTTTTTTTTTTTAAAGGCAGTTAGGGTTAAGTATTTTGCCCAGAGTCACACAGCTAGTAAGTGTCAAGTGTTTGGTCTGAGGTCGGATTTGAACTCAGGTCCTCCTGACTTCAGGACCGGTGCTCTATCCACTGCACCACCTAGCTGCTCCCATCAGTGCTTTTTTTCTACTACGCTGTACAACCATACTGCCTCTAATAGTGGTTTTTTTCTTTTCTAGACAAATTAAGATTCCCCAGGTTTGCTGCTTTTGCAGTTTGGCTCCTGCTATTTCTTCCCTTTCACATTACTCAGATTTCATGAAGCCAAACTATTATTACCTACTTTTGTTATGTCTTTCCCATTTCCTGAAATGTCCTCCATTCCCCATCCTTCAAGACCCAGCTCACATGCCACTTCCTCCATAAACTTGCACCTCTCCTAACCTCAAAAGAGAAACCTGGAAATAACCTCATCTTTTCTGAATTTCTGTAGTGCTTCATCTCCACTTCTCATACTGTTTACTTAAGACCTGCCTTACCCTCTAGGTTTTGTGCACTGGGGTTTTGTCTTAGCTATCTTTATCCCACAACTTCCTTTGTACAAAGAACTTCCAGCTGAACAAACTCCTACCAGTGCAGGTCTGAAGCTTCTCTGCAATTTATAGCCTTAGCTGCCTAGAGCATAGTATGTGTCAGAGGCTGGACTTCAACCTGAGTCTTTCCTAGCTTTGAGGTCAGCTCTAGCCACTATTTCATACTACCTTCATGGATTTATTTTAATGCTACCATTATTTCTGAAGTACACAGCAGTATACAGGAGTTGTTGATTGCTATGATTTTCCTGAAGTAGCTATTTGGGAATGAGAAAACAAGTGGGGTCTGTTAGATTTAGGGTTGATTTAAATGAAAAGGCTCTAAAAACATTTTTTCCTAATTTGCACTCTACTAGATCAGGTAGCATATCAGGTTAACACCTATGTTCAAGATATCTGCTCATGATATTTTTTGCTAAGATTCTTTTACCTGCTAAATATTCTTGAGTGTCTTCTCTTAAAAGAAGCACAGAATATCAGGGATATATGGGACCTTAGAATAAATCCAAACATTTTACATTAGAAGAGACTAAAGCTTGGAAAGGTTATGACTGGGCAAATCACTTAATTGATAAGTGGTTGGGGGCTCAGGTCTTCTGACTGAATAATCTAGTTAGTTCTCTTCTATCATACCACTGACAACATTTGTCATCCAACAGCATTATCAGTGTTCCTATTCCCTATTTACATATAGTTCTTCTAGATAGTAATGTAGTTAACTTTTTTTTTAATTGCTGTTTCAAACTGGATTGCTGGGAACCTTTTTTAAGCTTCTTTTTTTTTGTCATGGCCTGACCAAATTTAAAAAACAGAAAAAATTTCATTCCCTTTTTTTTGTTCCTGAGATTTAGCAATCAGTCTCCTTAGTTTTTTCAGCCCTAATTCTTAAACAAGTTTGGAATTTTCCTGTAGCTTTATAGATTCCCCATACTAAGTACATTGTGTGTGTGTGTGTGTGTGTGTGTGTGTGTCTATATATATATTTCAGTTAATACTGCCTCATAATATTGAAGAAATTGTTAAAAGACTGAATTACATGGCCGATGCTTAGATTGTTAATATTTTGATGTAAGGTTTTTTCTGAAAAGTGTATCTAATACAACTAATAACAGATTAAATTAAGTCAGCTTTGAAAAATCATTCTTTGCTTCATGTCAGAATAATAGTCTAGTATTATATGAGTTCATTAAGTACCTAACCTGTATTAGGCACTGTGCTAACAGTTATGGTAGTTACAAAGAGATTTAGATGAATTGCAGACCTATCATTTCATGATTTTTTTTTCTTTAGCATTAAGGGCATTGACAACAAAATCATTAAGATTACTGAATAAATAAGGCCTTAAAAGATCTCCAGGTATTTCCCAGAGGAACAGTAACATCTTGACTTACACAACAGGATTTTTATTCAGTTTATTTTAAAGAATTCTGGAATAGAAAAGTTCTTAGAGTTTGGCCTCTCTAAGTTGTTTAGTTGTGGACAGAGCAAGAAAGTATTATAAACAGACATTTCCTTTCTGTTACCCATACAGGGGTGCTTTCCCCCTACCACTTCGGAAATATTTTTCTGATGATGGGGGGATCCTTGATAGCCCAGATTCGTATGGTTGTTTGTGATCCTAAAGAAATTAATTCCTTCCCAAGGATAAAATAGAGATCCCAGCCAACATAAACCATAAGGTTGGGCTGGGTCCAGAACTTAAAAGCATTTAAAAGCATGTAAAAATGCTCAATTTCAGAAGTAGAGTAGGTTTGAGGGAAAATTTAAGTTCAATTTTGGACATGTTGAGTTTGAGATATCTACTTGACATCCAGTTTTAAATTTCCAGTAGGCAGTTAGAGATGTGCAAATAAAACACAAGGAAGACTAGGGTTGGATTTGTAGATAAAGCAATCACGTGCATTAAATCCAAGAGAAGTCACAGGGTCATGAAGTGAGTGTAAGAGCACAGAATATGGCCCAGGACAAAGCCTTGAGGGTATATCAGGGGCAATGATACAGAAGATAAACCAAGATAAGTCACTGAAATAGTCACACAATTATAACCCAAGAAGATAATAGCTAGCTAGCACTTCTATTGCTCTTTAAGCACCTTTTTTTTTAAGTAGCCAGAAGAGACTGCACCGTGTTGCAGAGAGGTCAAGGATGAGGACTTAGAAATGGTGGTCAACTCAGTAACTAACAGATCAATGATAACTGGAGAGAATGGTTAAAAGTGATGAGGTTAGTAGCTAGATTGCAAAGGACTGAGGAGTTAAAGTAGAGAGAAGAGATGTAAACAGCTTTTTCTGGATATTTGTAAATAGCTTTTTCTAGATATTCGGCTGTAGAAGGACAGAAATAGGACAATACCATGAGAACAGGAAACTGGTAGAAAGGGAGAGTTAAGATTAATGAGAGGTAATGATTGTGGGAGCAATTTGCTAAAAAAAAATTGAGAGTATCAAGGATACATGCTACAGGGTTGGCCATGGTGATAAGGGCCCTCCTTTAATATGAGACTGAAGAGGTATCAAGGTGTTGAGATATAAGAAAGGGAAAATGGTCTTTCTCATTTAAGTGTTAAGTATGATCACCAACTAAGACTGAGGTGGGGTGGGGACGATTTGGGAGGCTTAGAAATGTTTAGGACATTTGCGTTGGGAATGGGATAGAATATCAGGCAGTAAAAGGATTGTCTTGCTGATAAGAGTACTCAGTTGATTATAATGAACTGAGTTCAGTTGCATTTCCTCTAGTTCCGTTCAGCCACAGGTAAGAAGTAGAAGAGACTAATGGCTGGCAAGTAGTATCATGGAAGGTGACTTGAGAGGGTAATAGCATAGAGTTGCATTGATCATAGCTTTGAGATTTCAGCTAAAGCAGTGGTGATAGTTTGCCAGAGAGCTAATAGATGTCTTGGTGAGAAAAAGTTTTAGAAGGGTCAGGCATAGTGAGATGGGATGAAAGGTTATGATCTGCTAGTGATTTCAGAGTTTATCATTTTAGTGGAACATTTGTGGGTGATGTCAAGATCAAAGGTGTGGCCATCCCTGGATGTAACCGAGTGAAATAGAGGAAGAGGTCATGGGAGTCAAAATGAGGGATTATGAAGTTAGGATGTTTGAGGGGGACATCAAGCTTCATATTGAAGTCCCTTAGTATATTTCTGGAGTATCATACCCTGAGCACTGAGATGGAAGCAAGAAGCCAACTGCAAAAGCAGATTCTAAGCCAGAAAATCAGCCCAAGGCAGGAGGTGAATAAGCATTATCAACTAACTATTTTACAAGGTGCCTCCCCCAAAACCCAATGTATTTCTAATTATTCCTTCTTTATCCCCCAAGCCCCAAATTCTTTTAATGTTGATCCATAATGCCCATTCTTCCTTCCCACGAAGATTAGATCTACGGACTTGGGACACCTACATAACCACATAACTGGTAGCAACCATATAATTAACAACTGATATTAAATTTTTTCCAGCACAGTAAAATGGGTAAGGTAGCCAGGTATGTGATAACCTATTTTAAGCTATTCATCACTCTGTATTTTTTAACTTTGTGTAGTTTCAGAAGGGGAAAAAAATGACTACTGTATATTAAGTTGCTTAAGGCTCTCTGACCAAAACTTTACAAACCCCAAATCTCTTATGAATTCATGTTTATTAATAAGTAACATACAGATGCTGAAGTGTGTGAATATCTAATGTAACAAGAGAGATTTAGAATCTCCAAATATAAGGTTGGAGAATGACAATCATTTCTTTATTATACTCCACCTGCATTCATAACCTTTAATGTCACGCAGATAAAGAGCAGTAGTTACATCATACAAAAACAAGTGTTTAAGTATGTTTCTAGGTTCATAATCAGAGTGCTCAATTTGAGATGGAACAAATATGTTTAAATAAAGCCCATGTATTTCAATTACATAGCAGCAAATACAAAAGCATTTAATGATATCTTTAAAACTGCACAACAAACTTTAAGCCAGGGTTCATTCTTTAGCACTGAGTCAAAATAATTTTGCCATTAACTGTAGATATGCTAGGCACCAGCCACAAGAATTACATGGACTAACCCAAAATAGGTCAGGTACAACATATTACTATGAACAATATATTTTGTAGAAGAATTTTTGGTGCCACTTTGGTACAATGGCAAATGCACTTAACTAGTCAGGAGACCTGGTTCTAACCTTGGACAAGTCACCTCACATCTCTACAGTCTCAGACATTCCAGCTCTAAGATTTCTTTCCTGGGTCAAAAATCTACTTTATTTTTTCCCTTAGTTGACTTCCAAAATCCTTCTTACATAAGCCATGATTCTTTTTTCAAAAATCAAAATTTACTTTTTGAAAAGTTACTAAAAGTTCCACCTACATGTAACACATACTTTTTCTTTTTAAAACTGGATATTCTCAGGCTAGAGGAGAGGAGATATCTATTACCCAATGCTCACTCTACACCACTGTGTTAGACACTATGGAGGGATAACTAGCAAAAGTAGGAAAACAGTGCCTATAAAAGTCTTCCAACCTTGGGAAATTTTAAATTTATTATTCAAACACTATTGATTAAATTTTCCATACTGTGTAACCCAAAACATTTTCTGTTGGTGATAAATCACATTTCTTAGAACCATGGAAAAACTGGGGTAGATACCAGCTGTCAGAAAAATGTCTATGTAACATGTTTTAAAGAATTCCAGAATAGTAAATTTCTTGTTAGAGTGTGTTTTTGAAGCAAGTCATCAGGTATTATTAGAAGGCAATCCTATCTTGCTTATATAGTTGATAAAATAACTTCAATTCCACCATGCTTTTAAAATGTAAATCTCTAACAAACATTTTTGCTTTCACTCTATTTCACTTTTCCCTTACAATTCTCATACATCTACTTTTCCTACCACAATACTGACTATATTTCACTGCTACTAAGTCCAACATAAATCAGTGAGCTTGGCAAGGAAATACCGAGTAAAATAGAAAGTGACACAATCTATGTCATGCAGACTAATACCAGGTAGGCTACCTTGTTAACACACACACATATTTACACTAAAGTCTGGAATACTGTCAATTTCAAATAAGCTAGAAGCAAAAGAACTTTTATGCCAGAATTCCAGTTCAGTCAAAATCACGGTTTGTGAGGACAAGTGGAGCCACTAGTGTCCAAACATACAGCACGATGCCAATCCAGCTTGAAGAGATTTTCACCCAGACTGAAGTCCACTTACTGGTCATCTCACGAGAAGGCTCATAACTAAAATATTTGGGGGTGGGGAAAAAAAGAAAAAAATATATTGTATTAATAGTTAATTCTTAAGGCTCTGAGTTTCAGAATTGGTTAGATACATATGTGTACACATACTATTTTTTATCCACAAAACCCTACAAAAAGAAATCTCAGCTTATTTGTTAAGTTGAATGGTATTATTCACATCATAAGAGATTTGTTTCTGCTTTATAGAAGTATTTATTGAAGGATTATATGAGCATTTCAAGTAAGATTTACACAACATTTGGTAAGTAGCTTTCCCAAAACATTTCTGCTAAATTAAGTGAGGTAGCACTTTATTTGGAATAGACTACATTCCAAAGAAGCACTGTCTCATTTAATCAGCATCTTTAAGGAATATATTGTTCTATATAAATTTTTTTTCAGAAACTATGTAATGTACATTCTTCTTAAAGCAAACCATCCATTTCCCTACATTCTTAAATTATCATACATCAGTCAAAGATTTAGAGCTGAATGAACCTAGAAGGTCAGGTAGTATCTCATTTTGCAGATAAGGAAACTGAGGCCCAGTAAGGTTAAATGACTTGCCCACAGTCACAGAGACAGTTAAATGTCACAGCCATAATTTGAACCTGTTTTTCTCCACAACCCCAGTCTGCTTCTAAATATAACCTCGCCTGATAATTCAATGTGACTTAAAACAAAACAAGATCCTAGGTGCTACACAGTTGTACAGCTACTACTCTGGCTACTATCCTAAATGGCCTGTGCCATGCTAGTTTGTTTTATATAATTCTGTCTCTTCTTTCCACAGTAAGCAGTCATTTATAGAATGTCTTTGTTGTTGATTTTATGTAGTATAAAGTGTCTCTTCATTTGTGGAGTGAAAAAACCCTGAGTTTTTTAACTTCATAACTTTAAAAACTATAATGAGGCCCTTTTTAGGAGACCTGCTTTTCAGTATGTCATGGTCATATTCTAAGCATTTTCAACTATCGGTCTTACCTCTGCATTAAGTGGTATGGTTATACTCAATTCTAGTCTGACAGTTCTTCAAATATCTGGCAAGGCAATTAGTAGGAAATGTAACCTGCAATGGGTTTTAATCTACATATCATGCAGCTGGGCTTTTGAATAATCTTGAACAAAGGTTAAAGAAAACTACAGAATGCTAACTTGAGTTCAGATCCTGTCTGACAATGTGACCCTGGGCACTCACTTGATATCCATTTCCTCATTTGTAAAATGGTGTTAATAATTGTACCTACCTTACAGGATTGCTATGAGGATCAAAAACCTTAAAGCACTCTACATAATTTCTAATTTAGTCTTTAATCAATAACCATCAAGTCCAAAGTGTTCCCAGTGGAAAGAAACAATGAAGAGCCTTTCTTTATCACTTTTGCTTCATTAAAAAAATAGTGCAGATAATAGTTATTAGGGTTTGAAATACAAACCAGTCATGGAAACTTTTAAGGATACTAAAGATGAAGATACTAAAGATGAATTATTAAAGATTTAATATTTTAAAATATACCTCTCAAAATGAGAAAAATCTACTTCATTTTTGTTAAGTTTCAACTAAACACAAGGAGAATCTTGGAGCTCATAAAATAATTTCTAGAGCCCAGAAAAAAAAAACATTGAATGATGACACAAAAAAATTGAATGAGAAACTGACTGAAATGTCTGAGGACAAAACTGGATCCCTAATACCTCCCAAATATAATTAAGAATATAGAAATGAGAAGAAAAAAAGAAAAATATAAATATAATATAGATGGAAAGATGGTGGCATCCTAGGACATAATGGAGCCCAGATCTCCCATAAACATACCAACGGTGCTTGGAAATGCACCAGTCTAGGAAAAAATGAACAAGAATCCATTGTAGAGTACTCCACTCAGCTTGAGGAATCACAAAAGATCAACAGAATACTGTGGAGATTCTGCAGTAAACAAGGCTTTGGGAGGGGTTGGCAGACTCCAGTGACCCAAGCCTAGCGACAAACAAAAAGCCTTAGGCAAAGACCAACCTGAGGTATCCCCTGAAGTCCATGGTGCAAGAGAGCACAGCATACCCTTTTGGAAACCAAACACTAGGAAGCATCCAGGCAGAGCTCAGCATTTTAATAGCCTAGAGTCCATTGAAGGAGAGGCCTAATCTTGACATGATATTCAGGACCAGACAGGCCCAGCCCAAGCCATCTAGCTGCAGAGCTTGACCTAAGTACAAGCTCCCCCAAACGAGATGCTGACACTTTTAAGCAAACCAAGGAAAACTCCTAAAGAAATATGTTAGGGTTTAAAAGACACCTGTAGGAAAACCCAGAAGATAATGACCCCACAACAACGCCAGGGAAAGCTGAGGAAAAAAATCACTTAGCTACAAGGATTACAAGGGTACCCAGAAAAAAAAAAACGAAACAAGATAAAAAATGGAAAAGTCTTAAAGGAAATAATGGCAATGAGAACTGACACCTTGGAATTACATGGCAAAAAAGCTCACCTATGAACTAAATGCCCTGAAAATTAAAATGGACCGGACAGAAAATACTGAAACCACAAGAAATATTAATCAAAAGACTAGGGGGGAAAAAAAGAAAAAAGAATTAAAAAAAAAAATCTAGAAAACAAGTCATGGAAAATAATGTAAAATTATTTGATGATCTGAAAATCATCACACACACACCCCACCCCAAAAGTCTGGATACTGTATATTTCAAGAAATTATAAATGAAAACTGTCCAGAATTCTTAGAACTAGAGGGCTAAATACAGATAGAATCCAGTCACTTCCTGAAAGAAATCCATAAATGAAAATTCCCAGGAACATCACACATAGGCAAAATCCAGAGCTTCCAGGTCAAAGAAAAAATATAAGATATCAAAAAGAGTTCAAAGATCAAAGAATCACAGCAAGGATCATGCAAAATGTGACAGCTACTACTATAATGAAGTAGGAAAGCTTAGAACACACAGTCTATCCAGAAAAACTAAATACAATCTTAGAGAGGAAAAAAATGACTTTGATGGAACAGAAGATTTTCAATCATTCCTAATTTTTAAAAAGCCAGAACTGAGCAGATATTTTAAAAATGAAAATGCAGGAGCCAACAGAAGCACAGAAAGGTGCACACAAAAAGAACAAGAGAAAGATTAAAAAAGAGATAGAAAAAAAGAATAGATGGTTTTGTTCTGTCACAGATGACTGGCAAAGATTAAAAAAAAAGACTAATTGGAAGGGTTGTAGGAAAATAGGGACACTAATACACTACTGGCAGTTCCAGCCACTCTGGAACGCAATTTGGAACTATGACCAGAAAGTTATCAAACTGTGGTGCATACCTGTGACTATCACTATTAGGACTCTACCTCAAAGAAACTAAAGAAAGAGGAAAACCTTTATCTTCAAAAATATTCATAGCAGCTTTTTTCATTGTAGCCCAAATCTAGAAACTAAGGAGCTTTCTTCCTATTAGCAAATTATGTTATACGAAATTAATGGATTACTGTGCCCAAAGAAATGACAGAATGGACAGTTTCAAAAAACTGAGACCTCTATGAACTGAGGTAGATCAAAGTAAGACCTAAGAGAGTAATTTATAAATGGCCCCAACATTAGAGAAAAACAACTTCGAAAGCTGATCCCTTTGAGCAATGCAATGATAAACCATGAGTCCTGAAGACTGAAGATGAAATATACTACTCATCTTCTGCCAAAAGTATTGAACTCAAACTGCAATGACATAAAACATTTTGGGGCAAGGCCAATATGGGAATTGTTGAGGGTTTTTTCATTTTTTAAAAAATTGTTGCTGTCATTGATCAAAGGGGGTGTATTAAGGGGGTGTCACATTGTGAAGGAGATTATAAACATGTATAAGTAACTTTTTGAAAAAATTGTACAACATATATATCCTTTTGTGTCACAAATTTGCATTTCTACAGGCTCCAAAATTATCAAGGAATATCTTTATTCCTCAAAATTTGCCACTTTTTTGTTTTAAGATGTGCAAACAGTTCAATATTTGAAGTATGACCCGCACCAAAGTAGAAAATAAACTGTAATTTCCTAAAAGGCCATAGTAATAATAATAACAATACTCCAGTATTCACTTTTGTATTGATTAAAAATAAGAGTTTTTCTTTTTTAAGGCAATTGGGGTTAAGTGACTTGCCCAGGGGTCACACAGCTCGTGTCAAGTGTTTGATCTGAGGCCGAATTTGAACTCAGGTCTTCCTGACTTCAGAGCTGGTGCTCTATCCACTGCACCACCTAACTGCCCTGAAAATAAGAGTTTCTAAAACAGTACTAATGTTACCTTTATGAATTAGTACCATTATATCTTAATTTATGCCAAATGCAAAGTTTCCAGAATTTACAAATCTTAGGTTCCTTTAAAGTCCAAAATGTTAAAAATTTTTATTTACCTGTACCAGTTGGTCAGGGTCATCATGATATAAAGTGAAGCCAAGAAAAGCATGAAATGGAAGAAGGAGTAACTGTAAGTAACACCATCCCTTTCATTGTCTATTGCTCGGTGAACATCGTCACCATCATCAAGTGATCCATCATGTCTGGCCACACCATCTTCTATCAGTGTTGACTCATCACTGGTCAAAGTCAGTTTATTAACCTGACTGTTGTTAGATGACCGGATGCTATGGAAGCAGGTAGAAAGGAGAGAAAGTCATTAGTTTCAGAAAAGTATGATTTAACAATAGCCATATTGTTTTTCAACAAAATTTTATTAATAATGCTTACCTTGAATAAAGCACACAACACAAAAAGAGCATTAGTCCCACAATTCCTTGAGCATCCCACCACTGGACAGAGTCTCCTTGCTTTGGAATGCTTGTTGTAATATTATAGCCAATTATGCTTAATAAACTTGGATTGCACTGTCTGTCTGTGAAGTGAGTAAACATCACATTAGAAAAAATTTGAAGATGGTATTTTCCAAAGAATCTACATTTTACCCATTGCAAAAATTTATTAAGTCAGAACTTTTAAGAGTCTATAACTGTGACTGGAGAGTAAAAGCTAAAAATTATGCTTGACATAGATCTTATAGTTAAACAAAAAAAGTATTAACATTATATGAGTTAACATAGCACTAAATTTTTCAAAAAATTTTATCTATTATCTTTTTTAAACCCCATAATGTGTGAAGTTGCCATGATTTCAATTTTTAAAGGTAAGGAAGGAAACTGAGGCAAAAGTGATTGACTGAAGATCTCAGTGAGTTAGTGGTAGATCAGAAGTATACCTCAGATGTTTTCACTCCTAGTTTTCTACACTTCACTGAGGATAATCAGTGTTATTTACTAAATACTTACATGTGACCAATCTGTATAACTGTCAACCTATCCATGCCCTCTTTATCCTGTCAAGTTTTTATCCACAGACTCTAGAAAGTACACCCAATGTGCTAGGACCCTTGTTCTTGACAATTCATGATTAGTAATGGTGTGCACAAGCTTTCTACCAGCTAGCCTTTCCTCTCATTACATGATCAGCCCCGCTCTCTCCAGCCATAAATCTTTTTTTTTGGGGGGGGCAAAGGCATTCAGGGTGAAGTGACTTGCCCAAGGTCACACAGCTAGTGTCAAGTGTCTCAGGCCACACTTGAACTCAGGTCTGTCCTGATTCCAGGGCCAGTGCTCTATCCACTGGACTACCTAGCTGCCCTTCCAGCCATAAATCTTTATGACATCCTTACACAGTCCCTTTCTGTGGAATCCGTAGCTGGTAATATGCTGCAGTCTATTAATAATGCCCATCATATGACTCTCCATAACACTTTGGGTGACCAGCAACTTTGATTCTTTGGAGAGATTATGATGTATCACATGTACAAGCCACGAGGTACGAACAGAATACCAGTATTTTAAAGATTAGCCTATGTTTCAGAGAAAAGCTTGAGGAAATTTTGAAGAGCTTTTAAATTGCCTCAAGGAAATCTAGGTGGCTTTCTTTTTCAATTCTGGGCCAAGTTCACTCTCTACCTCCATTATCTATCTAAAATACTGATGACCCAGTTTTATGGGCTGTCCAGTCAACTGCATACTGATATTTTCCTACATAGACAAGGCTTGTTTGAGGAAAACATTTAGTTTAGAATATTCTACCAAATAAACTGGGCAAAAATTAGAAGCAGGTAGGAGATGCAATGGCACATTTACTTTTGACACCAGGAAAAAAAACTCCTAACAATCAGAGTTATCCAAAAAGTCAAACAGGATGCCACAGGAATGAATTGCCATTCCCTAGAGATCTTCAATTAAGGGCTGAATGTCCATTTGTTGGGTATGTTATACTAGGGATTTTTTATGCATAATGATTAGATTAGATAGCTACTGAGGTCAATTCTAACTCCGAACTTCTGTGAAATATTAAAAAAAAATAAACACAGTGGGATCTTGTATTGTATGCACTATTCACAATCAATTATGCTACTTATAGAAATATCTACTGGAGAATAGCTTTTGTGAAAAACCTGCCTGCTCTCTTTTCAAATTTTCATTAAGATGTCTCCGATAAGTGCATATTACTTTCATAAATTTTAAAAGATGATAAAATAAAAGCAAAGGTTATTAATTATCAAGTAATTAATAACTAAGTATTTTTTTGGATACATACACCACCCCACCACTCCTTTCTGGCAATAAGGGCTGTTGACTTTTTTACCATTTGATTTCTTCAGTCTTGATCCCTTATTGCCTTCAAAATTTTGCTACCTCCAGAATATATTTCTTCTGTTACCTGGTGTACTCTAGTGATGCTTCCCATATTTGTTTTCTTTGTGTCATTTTTACTTTCTTTTGGCAGATTTGGGGGTTAGAGATTTGGTATCATGAGTCCAAATGTGGTGGTTTGGGGCAGCTAGGTGGCGCAGTGGATAGCGCAACGGCCCTGAGGTCAGGAGGACCTGAGTTCAAATACGGCCTCAGACACATAATTTTATGTTTCCTAGCTGTGTGACTCTGGGCAAATCACTTAACCCCAATTGCCTCACCAAAAAAAAAAAAAAAAAGCAAAAACAAATGTAGTGGTTCTACTGTCACTGATAGAAAAAAGAATTTGTTACAGAAATCTTTGTAGATATTTTCTATTTTTTATCCATAATATTCCAATTTTATTTTTAAAGGGGGCACCTTTTGGATATGGCTAATTGAGTTTCTTACTAGCCTTATGTAAATACTTTCCCCCTCTACTACCACTAGTTTTCTGATGCCATATAAAATCTTAACATGAGTTTGTTAGAAGACTGAGTACAATCTTCTATCAAACTACTCTGTAAGATTTTATAAATAATTTGCATTTTAAATTAGTGTCACCTTTGGTTACTATCCATTTCTCCAAGTAGAGCAAGTAAGTGTTCACTTATTAGTACGGTCTCTAGGATCTTTTGTTCTCATTATAGTGATTAATTAGTATTAGTTAAACTTCCTTAGCAACTAAGAATACTTTATATCACTGTATGTTCTTTTATCCTTTTTTATCAACAGCTTGTTAGAACAGATCAGGATGGATTGCCTCAATTTTATGCCATATAGTCCTCTTTTAATTTGGTTTTCTGTTTTTGCACTAACAAATTGAATGTCTGACTCTACACAGTTATCAGAAAATGACTCCAACATCAGTAACCAGTTATTTTTCCTCTGAAAATATAATCAATTTTTATGTTATTTCAGTGCTTACTCCGTTTAGCACTTCCTGATTTTAAAGTATTAATGTTCTATAGTTCTGATACTTCTAAATATTATACAGACCTCTGACCTTTCTCATTTCATATTTCTGAACCACTTTCAAACATTTTTACCATGTTTCTCCAAGCCCACTTTTGCACTGAAGTCACATAGTAAACATTTAATGTTTAGTCTTATCAAGTTTCTCAAAAAAGCCTCCTCATCCTCCACAATAGGTTTTGGCACATAAGACTACAGTTGCCTCCATTATGCTCTTTTTTGTAAATATCCATCATAAGCAATTTAAGATATCCAGTGTCTCATGAAAAGAAATGTTTTGCTGCCTTTGAATGTATGATACAACCAATTCCATAGTTTCTTTTATTTACCTATTCAAGGGAAACTACAAGATAGCCTTCCATTTAGTGATTTTTTCTTTTCTGGCTTCTGCTTTTACTTACAGTATGAATGAAAAGAGCGACATTCAGTTCCTTCAGTAGAATGTCTACCCTGCAATGTTACAAGGCATCTTTGGCAATGCTATCTATTCTATTTTATAGCTCACTTAATACTAATAGTGTTGAACAAAGTTATCTCCATTATTATATCTTTTAAGGAATCTGGTAAAATTTTGAAATGCACGTGAGAAGTCTCTTGTTGGAAGAATATTTTTCAGGTGGCATTTTTGCTAACTAATCACTCTATAAAGAGAGATTACGAGTTTCGAGAAAAAAGACCGTAAGCTTGAAATAAACATCAAGGATAATTCCTATAACATACCTGGTTCATTCGTCATAGCAGACCAGGTCAGATACATTGTGTAGATTGTGATTACTGAAGATTGCAACAAACCAGATCTTGGCTGTGACTCCTATTAACAATTTTAAAATAAAAACTGCATTTACAATCTGACATGCCTCAATATTTATGAACATTTAGAAACTAATATGACTGTCAATTAAAAGTAGTCTTCAAATAAACAGCGTACTTGGATCTTGGGCAGAATAGACATTACAGATGCTCCAATGCACAGAAGCATATTGACACTGATGAAGGCCTTATTTTCTGAGCAACCGTCTGGGTGAGTGTAGTAGACAAAGAACAGGACTATAGCAACTAAAGACAGTAGATAATTCATTGCTGTAGCGGATAACAAAGCTGTGAAGAGATATGGTTGCAGAGTTAAGTTTCATTACAAATATTAAGAAATGTATGTAAGTTTACATAAGAAAAAATATTTACTAAATAAGTTGTACTACCAAAACCAAAAACAAACCATGACTATATAACTTTTAGTTTCATATAGGTTCTGGAAGAATCCTATGAATTAACACTTTTCAAGAGAACTTTCAAGTTTTAGTATATGCTCTACTCTTATGGGGTTATTCCCCAAAATACACTACACAAAAACTTTTATTTCATATCCAAGATATCACAAATCTGTAATTTTGTCTATATTGGTATTACACCCCCTGATAAGAGATCAAACTCCTCTAAAATTTAGTACATGGTTTAAAGAAATTGCTATGATTCCCCCAAAAATTCCATCAACCTCCATCACATGGGTGTTGAGCCTCTCCAAACTTAGCAAGACTGATCCTTGGGAAACAAAGGTGGTCCCTCACTAAGCCCAAAGCCAAAGTCCTTCAAAACTAGTAGGGCCCACCAAGGTTTGTTTCTTACTCATTTACATTTAATGTTTGTTATTTGGTAAACAGTATTTGAAAGTGAATTTCTTATTTTCATTCTCAAAAGGTGTTGCCCACAAAACACTGCTTTCTCATGAACAAAATTTTAAAAATAAACTTTCAAATATCTAATAAAATAATTTGAAAGCCTTCAAATATCTAAAGAAAAAATTATATTTCTTCTGAATAACTCTCAACAGATGTAGATCTGGCTCACTATGGCCTAAAAGAAAATGTACATAAATGCTGTAATAGAAATATAAGGTAAAGTCCTCTTTATCTTCCTTCATCAAAAAATGAAGTTGTACATCTGTGAATTTCCCAGATAGTGAAAAAGTTACCAAAAATATATGAACCATTTCAGAAGGAAATCTTTCTTAAAAGGTATTACATATTTTCCATCTTAAACACAATATGATACACAAATGAGGCATTTCTTCATGACTCGGTATCATTATATGATCAATCACTGAACTATGTTGCAATGAAATAATGCTTTCAAAAACTATTAAGGTATACAATAGCATTTATTCCTCACGTTAAACAGACCTAGACTATAGCTTCTTAGTTTTTTTCTCTCTAGGCAGGCAGGTGTCCATTCTCCTTGTGCTTGCCTTTCACAGTTCTAAGCTATAAAACCATAAAATTCCCTCTATTAGAAAATTGTGTGCCTAAAACAGAGAGTAAAAAGACTCTGGTAATGCCTTAACTAAGAACAAAATGACAGAGATTTTTATCCAAAGCCACTGTCTCTTCTTTTAGCTTTTCAGAGACCTTTCCCTCTTTTTTTCTAGTTCTACTATGTTCCAGAAAACTGAGGATACTGGGTGTGTAACGTAGACAATCTGAATACCTTATAAACAAAAATATCTCTGGGCCCGTTTCCTCATCTCTAAAATGAGAGCACTATACTAGATGGCAACTAAGCCTCTTCTAGCTCTCCAAATCTTTGGTCCTATGATCTGTACAGTTAATTAAATGAGAAATAATGTTTTAAAATGAGCCTATGTTATATGCTTATTTATGCCTTGAAGCAGTACAAGTCTTACCTGCATACCAACATCTTGAGTTCCCTTCTTCCATTTTTTCAACCCATGATTCATTCCATGAGTGGGCAAAATCAATAAGTAAAACCAGCTGGATGAGAATAAAACAAAAGGCTCCTGCCATGCCCACATAAAACCACACTGAAAGAGAAAAAACAGTAACAAATTCCTCTATAAAAACTATTTTGTATTCATTTTGCATAGACTTAGAGAGATAAATGTGGTCTCCTTGATGATTTACAAGCTCTTTAAAGGAAGGAACTGATTTTTTTTTTGTATCTACAGCAATTCCTGGCATATAGTAAGTACTTAATAAACATATGCTAACTGATTGATAAAAAGGAACAGTGATGAAATTAAAAAAAAAGGCTAACTCATCACATGAACTACAACTGAAAGCTAGGACTAAAAAATAACCCTTTAATTTACAAGCTCAAGAAAACCCAGAATAATAATGATGGTAACACATAAAATTGAAAGTAGAACACCTCAAGAGTAGACACTTGGGCTAAGAAATTGTCATAAAGAATAAACAACAGAATCGGAGAATATTAAATGTATGCTCCAAATAAAGTTTCAATTAAATTATAAAAGAAACACTAACAGTATTACAAGGCAAAATAAACAGAATATATGAAATTATTAAAGTGAGAGGAAATCAACACTATTATGACTATGATAAATCTAATGCAGACAATACACATCAGATGACAAAGATCTGGAACACACAAGGATAACCAAAAAATTGAAATAATAAATATAGCATGACACAATATAAATCAATGTAAACCTCCAAAACCACTGTAACACCAATAAATACCAGCTTTTATTTTTAATGTCACATAGCATAATAACCAAACACACACACACCCCCAACACCCATACCCACACCCACTCACAATCTGAGCAATAATTTACCCAAGGCACTTACACATAGCCTTTACAAGGAAAAGGACAACACTGGGCAGTAAGAAAAGGGAAGGTCTGAATAGTAAGAGAAAGTCTACACATATAGAATACCAATAATACCAATGCTCTTAAGTTTACAAATGAACCCGGAAAAGTCTCAGGGAAGTTAAGTGACTTACTTGCCCGAGATCACAAAGATAATAAGAAAGCTACTAAGTAGCAAATCATCACAGTAAAAAAACATCTCTCAATCACAGCAATCTCAATGGTTAACATGGGATGGGGAACCTTCTAGGTCCTTGGGTGTGGCCAAGTTAAATCCAAGTTTTACTTGAGTGAGTCCAAGTTTTACAGAACAAATCCTTTTATTAAGGGGATTTGTTCTGTGAAGTTTGGATTCAGTCAAAGGTTCACACTTGAGGATCTAAAGGGCCACATGTGGCCTCAAGGCCATAGGTTCCCCACTCCTGGTTTAGATTATAGACATGGATAAAATGAACTAATTTACATAGTTATATACTTTTAGAAAGCTAACAAAGTGATACTTGTCCTACTACTTTAAATTATAGCATTAATTATCACTGGATACCATAGCCACAAATAGAGATTTGTCTTCAAAGTCAGGCAGACCTGAGGTTCAAGTACTGCCTCTGAACATGCTTTATGTACAAGCCTGGCCAAGTCACCTAATCTCTCAATGCTCTAGGCAAAAAAGAAAAATACACACACACACAAATTGCAGAAAAAGTGCTTACTCTTTCTGATAGAGGGAGTTTCATAAACCAACACAATCAAAGGTGCAATCCCTTTTCCTAATTATTAAAATTATCTCACATTGGACCAAAAGGTAGTAAGGTCAATGGAGTAGACCAGAAATCCCCCACAGAACCAAATATATATATAGATAATTAATGTTTGATAAACCTATGACTGCTAAACATTAGAGAAAATAATTAATTCAATAAATGCTATTTAACTGAATAGCAATAACATAAAAAAAGAGAATGTAAAATCAGTAACGTATCTTACACAATAACTGCCTAATCAAATGAGTAGCCATAAAAAAATAAACTAAGAACTTAGCACAGTACCTGACACATGGTAGGCACTTAAAAGGGAAAAATATCAGGAAAGAGATAACCTTCATTATCCATGATGGATGTGATAATTCCCAATAAAAAACATTAAAATACAGGAAAAAATAATTCTGGGGGGAAAAAATCTATCTCTGGGAGAATTCCTTGTCAAATCATTCCCCCACCTCATTTCGCAGAGCTATGGTCATACAATAACAGTGCATATTAATTGACCCCACACAACTCATGGCTTTGGAGAGGGGTGCACAGCACAAAGTTAGTCTGATTTCACCTCAACAAAGGTAATATTCACTAAATTCCTGGAGGAAGATCATGAGTGATTTTGAACACGTTAAAATACTGAAAGAATATGGTAATGTACTCAACAGTTTGGGGAAAAAATTTACACACACAAGTATGTATGTATATATGTATGTGTGTGTTCAGGAAAGAGGCTTTAGATGGAGATAGAGAAATGGAAGTCATTACATTGGACATAATAGCTGAAATGGATGAATTCAACAAGGAAGGATTATACAGACAGAAAAAGTTTTTTTAAAATAAAAGCTCTTTGGGAACATCTACATTCAAAACAAGAAGAGGAGCAAGAGAAGTCTGACAACAGAATCAAGCAAATGCAGCAACATAGTCGCCAATGAAAAACAGAGTACACAAATATTCAGTGTTCTTACCAGTAGTAAAGGGTCCTTCTGGGATAAAGAAAGCTCCAACAGTAATTGCCACTGCTGCTACAAATTTAAAGAACCAGAATCTAAAAAAGAAAAGCATAGATTCTTACTGTATCAGAAATTCAAATATATTTAATATATGATGTATATTTTCAAATATATGTAATTTCACATATACAAAAATTTAAGAGCATATCAAAATAACATCAACTGGTCATGAAACAAGACTTTGAGGGTTACTATAAAGTGAATATAAAGCTCAACTTTATCTACTTCGCATAACTAAGAAAAACTGTTTTTCAGGTCCTACACAAATGATGGCATTTTGACAAAAGAGTAATAATGTTCATTGTGTTAAAATACTATCACTTACCTTGACCTTCATAAAGCTGCTATAGCAATTACAACAATGTGAGGATGTACTTTTTATAAGGTATAATGCACTAAACTAATTAGATATGTGAATATATGAACATTGCACCTAAGGCTGCTATCATATCTAAAAAAGTTAATAACAGAACATTAACCCATATCTTGATGATTCAAGAAAATCAATGAGTGCAACAATGGATTAGGAGAGAAATGGAAATGGATTTTTAAAATCAGTGTTTAAAATGACTTAGTGTTTAAAAACACTAATTAAAATCAAATGGGCATGGGAAAATATGTTGAGTTTATTACATCTATATAATTATATCTTATATCAAGAGGAAAACTACCAGCAGTTAGCTGACAAACTCAGAAAGGAAATACCTTTCTTTTATGTCATTTCATTACTTTCGTCATCTATCACAGTATTACAAAGCTAAAATTACACTGAGAAAATAGTTCAAGTAAAGATAACCAGACTCATAGTTATCACATCCAAGAGCTTCAGGTCATTAAGTGTCATGGCCCTAATTGAAAAATCCCATTCATAAAACGTTTGATGGATATCGTAAAAGAAAGCTACTCACTGTCCCTAACTCTTAGGAAGAAATTATCTTTCATACCATAAAAGAGTAAGGTATTATTTATGAAAAATCAAATTAAAAAACAAACATACACACATAGTTTAGGTCCTAATTTCCTAAGGAGGAAAAAAAAAATCTTTTAGACACAAAAACTAGGTAAGTGTCCTTTCTGCATAATCAAGATTTTCCCAATGTAGTCAAAAAATACTGCTTTGCTAAAAAAATTTCTCTTCAGATGACAAATAATACATTATTATTTAATATGCAGTACTTTCAACTACTGGTCCATTCTCTTCAGGAAACAAAGTGATGGTATGTTGCACATGACAACATTTAGTATATGGAAATGGACTGATACCACCACAGTTAAGGCAGATAGATTTTTACATAGGTTTTAATTCAAACTGTCCCCAAGATGGTTTCTGCAATAAATCATCATTAAGAAACCTCTATGTTTCTCCCTTATACCCTCCACCTCAAGATATAGTTCATTTGTTTCCTATATCATGCCAAGATTCTAAAATTTTGTTTTTTACACCAACTGCCTACTAAAAAAAATATGACATACTGGCAGACTTAATTCTCTAATATCTGAAAAGCTATTTTAAAAAATTTAGTTTTCTCCACATCCTCAGAATATATAAATCATATTTCTATGGTTAATTTGATAGATTTTTACGTTCATTGATGTGGGTATTCCCTCCAATGCTGAAGAATGAACCCCATCCACACTTTCTCATCTTTGTGTAACTCTTGTCGACATTTTCCCAGTAAATTCTCCACAAGAGGTCCCTTTGACATACTGGGAAACCTTCTTGAAGGTCCTGACAATGCCCAGGAAGCAACGAAAAAAGAGTATGCTTCCTGTGAGTCTCATCACTAGCCAACTGCTCTGGTCGTATATTTCTCTGACCATTTGTACCCTTTCTCCTGCTCACTTCTTCACTACTGCATGCCTCTAACTATTCACCACTCACCATGCATTTATCTCTCCACTATCTTTTGGATAGTTTCACGGAGAAGGCTGTGGTCAGTATAACACAACTTCCAAATGCAGCTCAACCTACTATCAATCTTTTTCAATCCTAAATCCTTTTCACTGTAAATCATCAGTGTCTAATCCAGAGGCTGTTAATCCAAATACATATCACAATCTTGGAACAATCATTCTTCATCTATTGATTTTTCCAAATGGATAATTAGGTTGAATTCTTGAGTGATTAGGGACCTAATTTAGGAGTCTCTACAATGTTTCAGGATTTGATGCAACTGACACAAATGTCATCTGAAAACAGAACATTTGGAGGCCCTCACCATGCACAGGGAGTCTCTTCCATTTGGACTCTTGTGACTATCTGCCCTGACAGTCAAATAAATACCTTTCAGAAAGTATATATCATTCTATTTTATGCTTTGCTGTATATTGATAACCAGAGAGTCAATGAACAAAGTTCTCTTGCTTCATTTTCCAGTGTTTTCTGTGATTATTTTAAAGGGGTGTTTTGCTCTATACAATCATTTTAGTTTAAAAGGGGGGGTTATTCTGTCTCAATGTCTCCTTTTTTAAGTCAAAAAATAATAAACACAATGAAATCCTGAATTCTCCGTATCTTTCAATTTTATTACAGTAAATCCATGGTCTGCTATAGAATACTATTTGAGGAAGCTACCTATTTTCTTTTCATACTTTCATTAAGCATTTAGACTATTCTCATAAAGAATTTATTAAGTTCAAAAAGTACGCGTATAGATTAGAAGCTACTGACATTTTCTTGACTGCCTTTGAGCTATATTAACATGAGTAAGTTTTTTCTCCTAAGTTCCTCTGCTCTCTATGTATCTATTTTAAGAATCAGCCCCTCAGTGATCTCAAAATTATTATTAAGCATCTCTAATTTAAAAAAATAAGATTTAAAAAAACTCACAAAAATAAACATACCCCTTAATCCAGTAATTCCACTGTCAGAAATATTCCCTAAGACTATCAGCAGATGAGGTGGAAGACACTGCCCACTAAAAGGTTTTTATAACAGAGGGGAGGGAATAAGCATTTATCACACACCTAGTATGAGCAAGTTCTGTGTTAAGCACTAACAAATATCTCTTTTGAATAACAACATTTTATTTGGAACTAGAAATAAGAAACCAGAAGGACCCTAAAAATCTAATATAGGAGAATGGTTAAATTAGCTATGATACTTCAGTGTAATGGAAAACTCTAAGTTTGGACAAATATGATAAAAATAATGAAATACAGGAAGATATCTAATAAATAATGGTAAAGATAGAATCAGAAGAACCAAATACAAATTATATTTTATGTACTGAAGCACATTTAAATGTAAATAAGTGCCAAACATGTTTAATTGGTTGTATTAATGTTTACTATTCAGTTTGTTGTAAAACATCTGAGTTTAAGCACTTGTGAATTTATAAATTCTTTTCAATTTTACTATTTTTTTCATAAAAGCAAAAACACTTCACAATCTTAATCAGCTTCTTTTCCACTCACAGCATCTGAAGTTGCTCACATCCAGAAAGTAACTGCCTATGATTTATGTTTTGATCTATGATGTCTGTATTCTGAACTAAGGTCCTTAATTTTAGAGCATGAAAATATTAAAGTGGACAACTGTATCTTTAAATCTCAGAGAGAATAAGAGCTCATGGTTACTAGTCTTGTGTTTGGGTCATTCTATAGCTTCCTAATTATTTATCTATATACATACACAGATACACAGCGTGTCCCAAAGTCTTAAGGCAATTGTGTGCATTCCTTCAGTTATGCCACTTGTATAAAAGACACACACTCCACTAACGAATCATTTTTAAAAGATCTAGATCTCTCATTTTAGACAAGAAACTGAAGCACTACCTTAGAAAGGTTCAGTTATGCATCTAATGTTACACAGTTTATGGCAAAGCTGAGATCAGAATCATAGAATATTAGTTTTAGAAGTATAAACAAATTTAGAGATTATCTAATACAATCCCCTCATTTTATTATTTTAAATGAAGTTAAAGTTAAAATTGCTGGCTTTGTTTTTACACCAGTCATTGCTGGAAATTTCTCCCACTTTTCCAAAACGAATCATTACAAGGAAAATCAAATAAGCAAAAATACCAGATACAATGATTTATCTATGTATATAATATTCTGCCCTAATATACTCCTGCCTCTCTGTTTTGAAGGAGGTTATCTGTTAACCAAGATCATTACTGCCAACTCCAAAATTTGACAAGTGAGGAAACCATGGCTTATTGTGGTGAAGGAAATTGCCCAAGGGAAACAGTGGCAGGGACAGGATTCAAACCCAAATTCTTCAACTGTAAATAAGCGCTCTTTCCACTGTACCTTGCTATTTCATTCAATTCTCTCAACATCCAGTCCAGTGTTACTTTACTTCACATATACCACAGCTACTAATGTGATTTTTCTTCTTCTTTAATTTTTCAAAATACAAAATACAATTTCCTAACAATGTTGAAGTTTATGTTCTGATAGCCAGATGTGAATAGTGAAGTCATAAGCACTAATGAAAAAGATTTTTCTCTCATTAGGCAGGAAATAAATACAAGCTGAGAAACGTTAATTTTATAACCACCAGAAATTTTTCCCAAAACTGTTCATCAAAATTTAACTAACTGAAACAGGACTCTAGTTAGCTAGCTTTTCTAACCATAAAATGTACATTAAAAGAATATAATCATCATCAATATTTATTGAAGCATCATGAATACTTTTATTAGGTAGGCTCAGAATTGCTACGTATTTTCTCAGTTTCTTTTTAAAAAAGTTTAAAACTTACCCATTGTGCACTGCAGCTCTAGGATCACTGCTGCTCTTCACTTTGATCATCAATAAGGAGAACAGAAGGAAAAACATGGCCATGCCAAAGCACAAACGGTATACAGCTTTGTATCCAACCAACACACTACACAGCACAACTCCTGTCCCACTATCACAAAATCCAGGAATCTAGGACAATAAACAAGATGCCACGACCAATAAGAAGAAATGTAAAACTTTAGATAAACTAAATATATATAACTAAATTCCTAAAATACAGAATTCCTTAAAAAAAATCTTGATGTTGATTTACCACATCAAGCTACTACATTCCAAAAGCCTTACTAAACTGTAATAAGTCCCACTGACCACCCAGAGTTTAATCCTTTTTATCATGTAGATTTGTCCTGATTTTTCAAAACTGTCCTTTATACTAAGACACTCCACACCAGTAACTAGGTCCCTATAACTCAATCTGTATGAGAATACTGAAGAAAACATGTCTTTTCATTTCTCAAGGAATTGATTTGCCTTGTCAATTTTTAACTGTTTATTACTCAGAGAATTACAAGAATATTGTGCTTACAAATCTCAATTTCTCAACAAAAAGAACCTCCAACATAACTCCTCAGAATTAAGATCTATTTTTTACTAGAATTATTCCTGACTTTAATTTTACTAAAACCCAATTGTTTAAAAAATTTCAAAAGTTTAATAATGCACTTTAATTTTGAAAATAAAACATTTTTTAAGAAATGGAAAAATGGGGCAGTTAGGTGGCACGAGGGGCAGCTAGATGAAGTCAGGAGTACCTGAGTTCAAATCTGGTCTCAGACACATAACCCTCACTAGCTGTGTGACTCTGGGCAAGTCACTTAACCCCAACTGCCTCACCAAAAGAAAAAAAAAATTAAAAAAAAAGAAGAAATGGAAAAAAACATCAAGGTATACAAATCACTCGTGATTTATGCTTCAAATACTTAAGAGCCAAACTACCAGTCTCTACATGTCAAAAAAAAAACAACCCCCGAAAAGCAATTTAATTCAAGAAGTGTTGGAACAAATGGACTTTCGGGGCAAACCAACCCATATTAACAGCATATCAACATCTTTGAATACGTAATCTATAGTTTCAATCTGCTCAAGTAAAACAATTTTTTAAATGAAATGAGCAATTAGAATAATGAGCTAACAAAATAAATTTTGTGGTTATTACTGAGAAGCATTATCAAAAAAAGATCACTCATAGCCCTCTAAAACATAAGAACAGGAAACAACAATTACTGTCAACTAAGGATTCAAAGTTTTAATAACTCAAATGCAGAAATTTCTTCTTTGCTAGCCTCTTCAAAAAAAGGTGCCATTATGAAATGAAGTGCTATTAGTACAATGTCTACAAAGTATTTTTTTAAAATCGGAGAAAGTTAGAAAGAGGCCTAGACATTACCTACGTTATCCTCATCATTAGCTTTAGAGCAGAAAGGTTAACTCACACATCCAAGATAATGAATATCATCATACTAGAATATTTTGATCCCAAGACTATCAGTGGATAGAATATAAATTATGTCATATATGTATGTTTTTTCCCCAAAAATATGATGTTTAGTTCCTTGTGGAAAGGGATATACTTTTTTTAGCTCTTACAGAATCTAAGCAGAGTGCTATTTTATTTGGGGGGAAAAATGATGAAGTAAAATTAATTAAGTCATAAATCACTGCACTGATAATCATATTTCAACTGTACTTACTACAGCAGACAAACAAAATAAAATCTAACCTTATTTAACTGTTCTTCCATTCCTGGTATCAACATCACACAGGATATACCCACACCAATAAGCAAAAAGAATGCATAAATCAGCCTAGTTACTGTGGAGTTATTTCCACTTGGACAGCATCGGCACAGCAGACATGGAGCACTCCCACATAGACATGGTATCTGGTAAAGAGAAAAATGTTAGAAACAAGTCATACTTTAATACAGAAAGCCAATCTACACTACCCACAAAAAGACATGCCCAAAGTTGGAAAAGTTTACCAAAACGTGAATTAGTGATAAAAATCACAGCTGTCTGTATTTAATTCAATTATACTAAAGATGTTACAGAAAGGGTGTAATTATTTTTGTGTGACATGCTAAAGAGATTCTTTAACCTTATTAATTAATTCTATTATTTTTTTCATTTCTTCTAACAAAAATATGAATAGATAACAAAACAAAAACACAAATGTGGGACTCAGAAACAAAACTCATCTGGATTTCCAAATCTAAATCCTGTGATTCTTAAGGTATAAAACAAGGTCTTTTGGATCAAAGGCAGTACAGTGTTCTTTCCATTATGATTAAATTCATATGATTTTAAAGGAATGAACCATTAAGTCATTAAATGTGGTATTTTAAATATATTTAAATTTAAGTTTTGCCAGGAAGGAATGGAAAAATTAAAGGGGGAGGAGACAAGGAAGGAAAACAATGAAAGTAAGTGGAAAAGGAGAAAGGCACATGGGAAGTAGAAGAGAATAAGTGAAAACTAATAAGGAAAATAGAAGCAAAAGAATATTAGGAGTACTGCTTTTATTCCAAGGAAAGTATTTCTGTCATGAAGAGACCCATGCATAAAAAATTACCCTTTGTGGATAGGAGAAAACGTCTCATATTTCTATCAAGGGTATGTCTGGGAGGGCTTAACACCCTTTGGGTTTTTAAAAATATCATTAATTATCAATGAACAAGTTCAATTAAATTCGACTGTTCTAAGCTATACCAACACTTGTATAAAATATAGAAGTGAATGTCTATTTTGGAATAATTTTGAGGTATCAAGAAAGTTGTAGGATAGAGGCCTCGTGCTATATATACAGAAATAACACCCTCCCTAACAGGCATTCCTGTGTCTTTTTTTTTTTATGATCATAGGATGGCAATTTAGAGCTGAATAGGACCTCAGAAGTTTAGTCCAGCTCTCATTTTAAAGATAAGGAAACTGAAAATCACACAGGTAGTTAAGTGGCAGACTGGCTTTGAACCCAGATCACGTGACTCCAGGCGCACTATTTCTTTCCATTTTATAAAGCCGCCGGCCTCCCTAAATTTTTCCCTTAGCAATTCTGCAAGTCATCAATAGGTTTTCCAAAGGAAAGAGGGGATTATTCTAAGTCTAAACAATTCACACCTCCCAGACCAGATTCTAATCTAAGCACATAAATCATTCCCTGAGTCAAAGCTTAGTATTTTAGGACGTGTATTACCTTTTTCTCACCACTTGGGCGATGAAGACTCCAGTTTGCTTTAAGCACTAAGTAAAACAGTATTCTGACAACAATTCAAGGTTTATGCAGTTTACAAAAATCTTTCCTAACGACACTGCCAAGTTCTAGACAAAACAAGAGTTACTAGTCTCCATTTTATCTATAAAATATTTAGTTTCTGGGAGGGAAGGTAACTTGCCCAAGGTCATCCAGCTGTTAACACCAACGACTGGAACCCAGGTATTCCAACCTCCAGGGCACTTCCAAATGCACCAAGCAGCCGCTCTTTACCCAGCAAAACCACCTCTTTACCCCCCTCATTTTCAAATATCCTATTTAACGAAATCCCCCTCCCCCAGAAAAACCATCAAGATTCCCATCTGACGCCCCCGGGCCGCAGGAAGATGCCGAGGCGGGCCCGACAGCGCTGCGCAGTAAGGAAAGCCGCAAACCACGCAGCCCAGGGCGGGCGCTGCGGCCCGGGCGAGGCACCAAGGGCGGCGGCACCGAGTCCGCCCGGCCACAAAGAGGCCGGGCGGGGTGCACGTAAGGGATGGGGTGGGCAGACGACGCCGGCCCTTTTCTTCCCTTTCTCCCCAGAGCCCAGACGATTCCGGGCATGTCTCCCACCTCCCCCACTCCCTTCGCCAGATCCAAGGTTGGAGGCCGCCCCCACCGCCTGGGACAACGGGAAATGAGAGAGAGGGGCTCGAGAGGCAGCCGAGCCAAGAAGCCCCGGCAGGACGCCCTGGGGCGGGGACCAGGGCGAGGTCTCCGCTCCCGGAGCCTCCCTCCCCCTCCCGGGAGTCCTCTCCTTCCCGCAGCCAGTTTCCTCACCCCTCTGAAAACACCCAGGGGGACGTACCCAGCTCGCCATGGAGCACAATCCCAGGACACCCCCCATGGCCAGGAGACAGCAGGAGCACCGGGAGCCGTAAAGATGGAGCCAGGTTCTTTTTCCCTCTCACAGCTTATTTACCATCTTCCAGGCACTTCCGGCCCAGACCCCGCCCCCACCTCTTTCGTAAGAACTACGTCATTTCCCCGGGAGAAAAAGACTGGGCTCCTGGTGCGTTAAGTAAGCGGTGGGGGTACTGTAACGAATTTAGCTTAGTATCCGGCTGGAGGATACGAAGAAAAGATGCGGCCTGGTAGTCTGTGACCCCCAGGTGGACCCGTTGTTTGTCCGGGTTGTCTGCTCAGCTGAAGGGAAAAAAAAATCCCGTATGTAGGGTGGCGCCGGCCTCGCCCATCTCTAGGAGAGTCGCCCCCTTCCTCCCATCTTGCCGCAGAGGCGGGGACTGGGCGAGGCTGCTGTGCAGGGAGAGCTTTCTTCCACTCCCAAGTGGGGGCAGGGGCATGGAGGAGACGCGGTGTGGCACAGAGGGTCTCATAAGGTCTTCTTATGCTCTGTATGCTAAGGTCCTGCAACATCTGAGGCATAATTATGCTTTTGCTACTCCCCAGTAAATTAGCATCTTTTTTATATCTATAAACTTTTCCTTACATTTCTCCTCACGCACACACCTTTTCTCTCCCTTTCACTTTTATTAAATCATGTTTTGTTTACAGTGCTTTTGAGTATCATGGACTTGAAGTCAGGAAGATCTGGGTTCAAATTATGCCATACACCTTAGAAGTGCGACCTTGAGCAAGTCACCACCTCTCTGGACCTCAAGTTTTCCTCCCGTGTAAAATGAACTATTCTATCATTTAGCAAATATGTAAAAGTATAATGGAGTTTACAACCTAGTAGATAAAACATTAGGCATATGTTATTACATGTAATAAATATAAATATATTACATAAATAATAGTAATGCAAAATAGATTATTGATAGAGGTATAAAATATGAACTCTAGGCATTCAGAAGTAGAGTGGTTATTTCTCTTAAGGAGATAAGTGAAGGTTTTTGTGCAGAAAATGGTACTTAAACTAGAGCTTGAAGATGGGAAGAATCAGAATAATTGAAGCTGCAAGGGAGAAATATATTCCAGGCAAAGAGGAAACCAGAAACAAAAGTACAAAAGTGGAATATGAGTGGATAGGTTTGGGTAATCCAGTTTGACTTGGAAAATAAAATGAAAGTAAGTAGTATAGTATATGCCTGAGAAAGTATGTTTGGGGCAGGTTTGTAGAGAGAATGAATCTGAAAGAACCGATAGATGATTGCATTTCCTCGGGATTGGAGAAAGTCAAATATCTCAAATTTCAAAAAGAGGAAGAGAATGGAGTCTGCAAACTATAAATCAATTTGGAACTTGACTCTAATTCTTGACAAAATTGTAGGATGTATTATTAAAGGGATAGTTAGGAATGTGAGGGAAGGGGAAGCAGTGGTCATAAAATAGCAAAAGGCATTGCTTCATGAATAACAGATAATGCCAGTCTAACCTTGCTTCCTTTTTTGATGGAGTTGCTAAACTGTTAAGTTTACATGTATGTCAGGGAAATGATAAAGATATCATTTACTTAAAATTTTAGCAAACTGTCCCATAAACCATATCATGCTGTTTTTTAGAAAAGATGAAAGAGATGTAATGGATTATAGTGTAATTAAGTAGATTTGGAACTGGTTGAATGGCCAGAATGAGAGTAGTCATTAATGGTTGAATGTCAACTTGGAAGGACGTCTTCAGTGTAGTGACTGAGAGGATCTGTACTTGACCCCAGTGCTATTTAACATTTTTGTCAGTGACTTGGATAAAGACATAGGTGGCATGTTGATCAGATTTATAGATGAGACAGAGTTGAGAGGGATAGCTAACTCATTGGAGAATGAGTCAGGATTTTAAAAAGAAGTTTATGGGATCAAACTTTAGGATGAATCTATGAAGATGAAATTTGATATGTTTAAATGTTGTCTAATACAGGTTAAAAAAAAAAAGTCAACCATACAAGTACAAGATGCCTAGAAAGCAGTTCCTTTGGGAATTTTAGTAGACCAAAAAAGTCAACATGAGTCAATAGTGCTGCTATGTGATAGCTATGTGATAGCCAAGAGCACTAGTGTATTCTTAGGCAGTGTCCAAGACGAGTTCCCTGTCCTCCACCCTAGTCAGAAATATTGTAATCATTTGTGAGTACCCCACTTTAGGGAGAGCATTGTGAAGTTGAAGAACATACAGAAATCTCACTGGTTAGAGGCCTCATGTTCATAATATAGGAAGGACAAATGAAGGACTAGAGAGTCATAGCCTAGAGAAAAGAATTGGGGTATAATAAGCTGTTTTCAAGTATATGAAGGGTTGGCATGTGGAAGAGGGACTAGAATCACTATGTAGGTCCCAAAGCGAAGAACCAGAAGCAGTGGATGAAATTGAAAAGATTAATTTAGAACTGATAAAAAGATATAAATGTTGTTCAGTCACACTGACTCTTTGTGACCCCATTTGGGGTTTTGTGGTTTGTCATTTCCTTCTCCAGCTCCTTTTACAGATGAGGAAACTGAGGCAAATAGGATTAAGTGACTTACCTAGGGTCACACAATTAGTAAGTGTCTGAGATCAGATTTGAACTCAAGAAGTTGAGTCTTTCTGACTTCACCACTGGCACTTTATCCACTTCACCCACCTAGCTATCCAAAAGTGGAAACAAATACTACATGACCATTTGTTGAATATGTTGTAGAGGCTATTCTTATTTATGTGCATTTTGTACTAGATAACCTTTGAGGTCCCTTCCAACTCTGAGTTTCTATGATTCTGTCATTTTGCCAAGCTAAAAGTTTATACAAACAGTGGCTATGTGATTGAAGGTGTTTTTGTTGCATACTGTGTGATCTTGAGTAGGTCAAAACCTCCCTTTCCTCAATTGCCTTATTTGTAAAATGAGAATAGATGGCCTCTCATGTCCCTTACAGCTCCAGATTTATGATTCTGTGAGGTATGGGATGATATGATCTGAATTGTGAACTAGGAAGATTATATAGAAAGGACTAAAGTGGGAAGAGAGTGAAGTAAGGAAAACTACTTAGGAAGACTATCTCAGTAGTTTAGACAAGATATAATAAGGACCTGAATTAATGTACTCAGAGAGAATGTAAAGGAGATTTCTCTCATGTAGGTGGAATACTTCTGATTCTCATTGCCATTTCCAAACTGTTGTTCTGTCAGGTTCATTCAACAAGTTTTCCATCTTTGATGTTTGAGTCTCCAGTTGTATCACTCTACTATAGATTTGTCATTGTCATATACCAGTGTCTGGCATTCTACCATTTGCCTCCATGACTTTAGGCCCTAGTTCAATCTTCCTCTCCATTCAAACCACTAGTATTATCCTTTGTAATTTTAATATTCTCATTGATGGTCTACCACTCCGATCTCCCACTTTATTTATCCTAACTTGTATCACCTCCATTTCTATTCTACCTCAGTCATCCAGAGATAGTACCATCTAATATCTCTTCCTAAAAATCTTCTACCAATATTCAGAACTCTGAAATTCCTCTCTCTGATCACTCTCTCTTCCCTCCACCTCATTCCCCTATCACTACTATTCAAAAATCTTCAGTGGCTCCCTGTTGCTTCTACGATAACTGACCTCTGTTAATTTTTAGCCACCATTTCCAAAGCATGCTAGGGATCAAGAACTCCCCTCTTCCAGCTTTCTACCTCCCTCTATGTGCTATCTTTCCAAATTAGGAATATAAAGTCCTTGAGGGCAAGGACAGTCTTGCCTGCTTATGTTTCAAGTTAAGTGGCACAGTACAATGAGAAAGATGCGAGTTTGAATTATGCCTTAGACACTAGATATGTTGATCCTAAAGAAGTCACTTAACTCAGCCTGTTTCCTCAAAATGGGGATAATAATAGCCTACCTCAGAGGGTTGTGGTGAGATCCTATCAGGTGACACATATAAAGCATTTTACAAGCCTTAAAGCACTCTATAAATGCTATTATCATGGCATCATATCCCAGCAGTACCTGGCACATCATCATTCTCGAAAATGCTTTATTAATACAAATGCCTCAACCTAACATTCAAGGCCCTCCACAATTTGACTTCAACTTAACTTACTAGTTATATTCATATTAATGTTCTCAATATATTCTACAATCTAGCCAGACAGAACTAGCAAGTGTTCCCTAATCTTGACTTGCACCATCCTGCTTTACTGCATTCATATAGGCCACATATCTCATCTGGATCACACTGGATCACAGTGTGGACCACACTCCTTTACCTGGCCTATTCAGTCAATTCCTGCAGGGAATTGTCCTAGCTACTAGAAAATTGTTTAGATAAGACATGGTCCCTGCCCTCATAGATCTTATTCTTTTAATTCCTTTAAGACTTAGTGTAATTGCTGTTTCTTCCATGATGCTTTCCTTTACTATCTCTACCTAATGATTTCTCCCACCTTAAATTTTATTTGAACACTATCTGGATTTCTTTTACTTCATCAAATTTTACCTTTTATCAATCATACATGTATCTATCATAACTCCTCTGTTAAGATTTTAAGCTCCCTGAAGGTAAGGATTGTTTTCATCTTTGTATCTCTCATACTTGCCATTGTCTTGCATATAGTGTAGTAGATGCTTGACATTTTTTGGGAACTGAATTTAATTATAGTATCAGGGGATCTTTGAGCTGGAAATCACCTTGCCTCATTATGTATGAGACTAAAACCTCAGACAGTTAAGTTACTTGCCTAACATCACCAGTAAAAATCTAGCCAGGATTCACACCCAGGGCTGCCTTCTTGAGCTGAAGGGAAAGATCAACAGAGTGGATTAAAAAACAATCCAAAATTCCAAGCTTATATGATTGTACCAATGCTGGTACCATTAATACTACCAGGAAAATTAGGAGGTGGGACAAATTTAGGGGGAAACATTAAGTTTGTCTGAGGGCATTATTCTTACAAAAAAGGGAAATGTCATTTGGGAGGGTGATATTTTAATTCATCCTTATCTCTTCTACTAGGCTACTGGACCATTTAGAAGCCTATTTAGATTACCCCATTATGTAGGCAGTTTAAGCTGAATGATGTAAT